GTCATGGCGAGCGTCTAGCACCTCAGCGGAAAGCATCTCTGTGATCGCGGCCTTGAGTTCGGACATAAGCAGGTAGCTGAGAATGCGCCTCTGCGGAACCGAAAGCTCTACGTGGACTCCACGCACAGGGGCCGCAGCTTCTTTCTTGAGCCGAAGAGCGAACTCGGGTGAAACAGTGTACATCGTCCTGAAGCGCTTGAGGACACTGGCTCCTATGCTCGAGGCCGCCATCCTCTTGCTCTCGTCGCATGCAGTATTGTAGAGCTTCAGCTGCGTATCCACGATGGTTTCCACGTCTGTTTTGCGCGGCATGCATGCGCGGGCGAGCGTGTAGAACAGGGTAAGGTGCCTGAAACTGCGGGAAATCGCGAGCTCTACGAGACGCCTGTTCGAAATCTCGCCTAGTTTTTTGGTTGGCAGCATCCCGGGGTAGACGTCGATCGAATAAGCAAGGTTCGGAGGGCGTATAGAATTGGAGCATTGGCGAAGCTGCTGAAGGAGCCCGACATCCTGGGACGCGGCGGTAATCCACGACAACGCTCGGAAGAGGAGGTCGGGCTCGGTCATAGTGGCGAGGTGTTGGTCGATAGTGCTCGCAGGGATCTCGAACAGACTCTCTGCGGTATGTGGGGAGACTTGTATAGTGTACGTGCCGCGTTCAAAGTACCAGGACGGTTGGAGGATCCCCTTCATCTCCTCCTCAAGTTCCTCGAGCACAACGGGAGACGCGTTGATCATGTCGCCGGTGGAGCTGGCAAGTGTGTGAGTCCGGATACTCTCCAAATCCCTAGATCTCCACCCCTGCCGCACCCCGTCCTTATCTTCCGCATCGTCTACGTAGAAGCGATAAGACACCTTGCCGAAGAGCCGTCGTCTGGCGAGTCTCCATAACACAAGAAAGGCCCACGCCGTCGGAGAGCGATACGGACAACGCTTGAACATCGTTGGTAGGACTGTGAGGATCGCGATGAGGAGTATAAACATAATGACTGTAATGGTGATGACGATGGCAACGACGAGGTCGAGTGTCCAGAGGAAGATGGTCAGGCCGCATACAAATAGCACGATGGCCAACTCGAGCAGGGCGGGTATCGACGCAATGAGGGCAGGCGCGTGCCAGTCCTCCCAGGCCTCCACACGGATCTGCCGGACGAGAATGTTGTCTCTCGGCGCGCCCGTCGCACTGTTCCACTTCAGGTATTCCCGAATCCATTGCTTCGCCAGGATGCCGAGCACGGCGGATGTAAGGCTGAGGATGAGGCTGAGGAACCAGAGGCTGTTGATCCACCGTGCTACAGCGCTGGGCTGGAAGGAATTCAAGCCGGCATTCGAGGGCGAGGCGGTGGAGTTGATGTACGGCGGAACGACAGTGAGGCTCGACAGCTGGGTGGATATATGAGACAGGAGCTCGACAGACGTCTGCGTATTGTCTCGCTGAAGCAACGCGTATGCTGGCACAACGAACGCGGTGACCACGGCAGAAAAGAGGCCGTCCTGAAGACAAAGATTAGAATAAATGAACTCATATGACCCTGTTATCCTTACCAGGACCAATAATGTATCGACATCTTCCGCGTAATCCTCCATTACCCCGTCGTCGTACGTCTTCACGTAATCCTCGATATAGGGCCACCCCTCGGCGGGCGCCTGCTCTGCTTTGACTCGTACAGTCTGGTAAACGTCAGCGTCGATTCACCATTGAGCACCGTCCCAGGACTTACCTTCCTAATCATGCCTCCCAGCCAATATACACGTCTCAATTCTCTGATATATGGTAATGTGACGGCCGTGCACGGTGCCGGTCGTAATTCAATGATTGGTGGTGGATACAGAGGTACAGCTGCCTCTACTGTCCAGTCACCCCACGACAAGGTAAAGATCAGAGTGCAACAGCGACCACAGCCAGCTGGCACTCACTACTCAGATGCATGGAAGGATTGCAGCACAGCATTCTTCATGACCTTCTGTTTGAACGCATGTTGCGGCTTAACGTCGGCTGAACTGCGGACTTGACAAATTGGGCTTCTCTGCATAGGTCATCTCCGTTCAGAGCGGGGCACGCAACTGCGTCCAGGTGGACTGACCTTTCAAAAAAGGTAACGAGGTCATGCTGGAGCCTTTGGTTCACCGTAGATCTTGCTGTGACCTGTATTAGCTGCGGTTCCAAGTTAGAAGCGAAATCAAAACCTGCATGAAAAGATGTTATATCGCAAACCCATAGCCGACTTTCACGCACGATGCTGATCAGCACTCAAAGGGGGGCGTATCGTATATAGTGCGCGAACGATCGTACAGCCCTGGTAAGAGAAAAGAAGAAAGTGTAGAATTTGAAAGCCGAAGACAGACCAGGCCCTAATTGGGCCCGACAAACTGGTATAAGATGCGTCGAACAAGGGACGACAAGTGTTCCGGATCGTTTTGGTAAGTGCTCTACGCATCAGACTCAGCATGGCATCGTTCACATTCGGGCAGAAATGAACTGACCATAACCATGCCCATGCCGACGGCGGTGAGCAGCGCGTCGCCGTAACGCCCCGTCTTCGGCACTGCGCCCTTGCCGCGGAGGATGATCCACGCGCTCTCGAGCGCCTTGGGCAGGACATACATCGCGAGCTCGCCGCGGCGGTGTGTGTCCTCGATGATCAACGCGAGGCCGACGAGCATGCCGCCGAACCAGTGCGAGAGCTTGCCCAAGAGAAGGTCAAGCGCCGACTGTGGTAGCCGCGCAAGTAGCCGCGCAAGCAATGTGTTCTTGTTGGCGCTCTTGGCGTTCATGAGGGCAGTGTACAAGTTGTTCTTCGCACAGAAAAACGCTGGAAATCTGTCAGCAGGGATCCGCACCGCCACACAAGGACGGCTCACATTGCATTGTCACCACACACAGCCCAAAGAACGTCGAGCTTCGGATTGTGCCGACGCCAGCCCGCGTGAGCATGCGCATCGGCTCGCGCCAGACAACCTTGCGCTTGAAGAGCAGCGTTGGGATGAAGTGTAGTGCGCCGTAGATCGGCAGGCTCCACTTGAACACGAACATGAATCGCTCCGCAGGGATCGGCTTGCACGAGTCGAACCACGGGTGCACAGCCGCGCAGGGTCCGAAGAAAGGCCCGTATGACGGCGGCGATGCCAATGCATTCGCGCGCCGCGCGGAGAGCAGTGTGCGATTCTGTGGGGTAACGTCCTGGAAGAGGGTTAGATGGTGGTTGAGCGCATGTGATGCTAGCGTACCGTCCGACTGAGGATACTGTCAATATCGGCGATACTGAACATGTGGTCTCGCACAAGGTCTCGATTCATCCGGATACCCTCGGCTGGTGCCTTAGCAGCACGGAGCAGCCTATTCCAAATGAGCGTCACGACAACTTGGGGACTTTGTCTGCCTTACCAGTTGTTGTAGGATGGTGGAAGCGTTTCCGGCCGCATCGTCAGTGCATATACTATCTGGCCGCAGCTGAGACGTCGTGAGTGTCGTAGTAAGATAGTGACGAGCCAGAGTCGTTACCATAGCACAAAGACAATGAGGTCACCATGTGGTATCCGAATCCCGTGCTGCTCGGAGAATGCGTTGTATGATCCCTGTAACCCTCTAACTCGAGCGTATCCGTGAGCACCAGCGTGCATAGAGGTATCCGTCAAGAGAACCTACCTAACAAACATCTGTTGGGCTATACCCGTCCTGCGGTCCTTCTTCTCACACAGTATGGCAAGACCACCTGCAACCGCACCGGCGATGACAGAGTACCACCGTCGTGTCTTCTTCCGCACCCAGACCTGGTGCGCCTGTGCGCTCATGGACAAACGCGCGCGGCGGGACCGGCTCCGCGCCCGCTCTTGAGCCTCGACCTCTATGACGCCCTCATCCTCGTCGTCGAACGGGTTCACGGACGCATCTAGAGACGCAGAGTGCTCCGAGCGGAAGCTGGGCCGCGGGCGATGGTGGCGTGGAATCGCGCGTGGCGGCTTCGGATCGGGAAGAAGGATGGGCAGGGAGTTGAGGACAAACTTGTAGATCGAGACGAACGCGCCTGTATGCGCCCAAGTCAATCGTACTGAGGGCACGTGTACTCTCGGCGCACGCACCCAACATAGCGGCAAACCGCCATGATTCCGGACCAAAGAAAGCTTGACGTATGAGTGCGAAGCGGTATGATCTGCAGGGCGTTGGAAGGTCAGTGGGAGTGACAAGTGTTCGGAACAAACTCACTTCGGGACCTTCTTGATCCTTGCGAGCAGCAAGATGAAGTTCACGCCCGAGCGAATGGCGAAGGCAAGTGTTCCGGCTCCTGTGGATAGTACGACGGACGTAAGACAGAGTCAGGAGAAAGCGGCAAGGCGACGTACGTATGCCCCCACGCCCTGCGTGCTCCAAACACTCCCAAAGGTCCGCCAGTTCCACCGGCTTCTCGCCTTTGTCTCGCCACACGATCTTTCGGGCCTCCCTAAGTCTCTCCTCGTAGTTTGCGAGCGCGACAAGATTCTCAAATGATTGCATGGCGCGCTTTGGCACGAACTCGATGCCGGTGTAGGATGCCATCCGCGAAAAGGCGGGAGGGGGAGAAGAGTCCGGGGTGTCAAGTTCAGACATGACCGCTGTTGTTTGAGGAGATATATGTATGAGTTCAGCCCGAATTTGTCGACATGGAGATCCGGTGGGGGACTGGTGGGGATGAGCTTACCCCAGCGCCGGTCACTCGGCTATTGGGGCAGAGCGGACGGGCATTTCAGGCACGCGAGACGGGATTGATGCGCCTGATTTCACTCCGAAACAAAGCGCCGAAGGTTCCAACTCGGCAGTGACAGTTACTGTCACCAGAGCGGGTACTGCTCGTCTCGTTCCAATACCGTACATCGGACCACACACACAGTCATGCAAGTGTTTTTCGGCGATTTGCTTGTTTTTTATATGCCAGTTTCGCCGGCGAGATGTCTTGGTACTGCCTGTGGCCATGAACCTGCTTGAAAGCGGCGGCTTGGAGATTTGAAGGTGGGTTAAACCCACCAGAATAAGTGTCAGTAATTCCTAAATCAATGGAGTGTACGCTCTCTTTACTCCAGCTATCGCATGCTCAGCCTAAAGAGGCTCGTAGAAAGATTCAGCCTCAATGTTGTGGAAGCGGCATGTGTTACTACTCGTGCTGAAATTCCTGGTCAATTCAATGGTGGATATTTTGGGTCACTTTTTCTGATTTTAAGTGCTATCGATATTGTAGGGAATGTGCACCAGAATATCCTAGGTCGCAAGGCTTGGCGGATGCCAATTGTACTTCTACGTTTTCAGCGACAAGCGACGTCCGGGGCATTTCCCGAGCAGTACCAGCCATCACAGCTCCAGTCTACGGCAATACTGGAGTCACCTGTCTCCTCTACTTGACTCTTCGGGCCCAGCACTCTCACAATCGCTCTTATCTCCCACTCCCTGGGAATAATGGCCTCAGCTTCTGCAAACGGACATGCAATTCTGCCTTGAGGCTTCGCTATCTTAAGTGGCTGCCATCTTCGGGCGAAGCGCGGAGGGCCGCTGATAGAGTTGCACTAGATTGACCTGTCATGCGCCCTGATATCTCAGTACGTATCACGCATTGACACCACCCTGACAGGCTTCAAAAAGTCGGACCAGCTGCCCTGGAGGCGTTCTCGCTCCTTTCTGCCTCCCGTACTCAATCCCGAACTTGAAACTCGTCGAGCAAAATGTCTGAAGAGAGAAAGTCTGTCGAAACCAAGGACGAGACTGTCCTCGCTGGCCTTGGCTATAAGCAAGAATTTAAGCGCGCGTTCACTCCATGGGAGTCCTTTGGCATTGCTTTTAGCATCATTGGACTCCTGCCATCCATGGCGTACGTCTGACCTTAAGCTGCCTTCCCTTACTATCGAGAATGCTAACGAAGCCGCATCTTGTAGGTCAACTTTGTCGTTCTCCCTGTCAAACGGCGGCCCGGTCTCGATGGTTTGGGGCGTACGTCCACTCTCACCTGTCCACTATACACTAAGCTGACGTACGACTTTAGTGGGCAGTGGTCGCATTCTTTGTCATGTTCATCGCCCTCGCGCTGAGTGAGCTCGCCTCAGCCGCACCGACGTCCGGAGGGCTCTACTTCTGGACGTACAAGTACAGCTCCCCGCGCTGGCGGCACCTGACTTCATGGATTGTCGGCTGTAAATCTGTTCATCTTCTTCGCTAGATTTGCGCAACACCCTGACATAACAGCAGATTGCAACACGATGGGCAGCATCGGCGGCGTCGCGTCCATTATTTGGGGTTGTGCCGTGCAGCTCATGGCGGCTGTTAGCATTGGGTCGGGCATGACGTTCGTCCCAACGACAGCCCAGCTCTTGTATGTTCGATACATCTCTTCAATTTATTTGACTAGACTGACAGCTTCCTCCATAGTGCTGTATTTGTGGCCCTGCTTGTTCTAAACGGTATCATTGCCTCCACCGCAACACGCGTCCTTGCGCGGCTCCAGGGTATCTACGCCACCATAAACCTCGTGTAAGTTACTGCGGACCGTGTCTGAACCATTTACTGAAGCGCACCGACAGGCTCTGCCTCGCAATCATCATCGCCATACCGGCGGCGACTCCGAAAGAGTTCAAAAACACTGCGAGCTACGCCTTGGGCGGGTTCGCTAATCGTGAGCATATCATGTGTGGACTCTACGTTTTGTCGTACTGAATGCGGTACGTGACGCAGTGAGCAGCTGGCCCAATGGCTGGGCCTTCATCCTCGGATTTCTTGCCCCGCTCTGGACAATCGGTAAATCTCATAGACTCAGAGATGGTGGACGCCGCGGCTAACGACGCGTTACAGGTGGATTCGACGGACCTATCCACATCAGCGAAGAAGTGTCGAACGCACGTACCGCTGTACCTTGGGCAATTGTCACGTCCATTGGTATCGCAGGCATTCTCGGCTGGGGTAAGCGGATTCAATTTTATGTCCGCATGTATGCGTGCTAAATACAGACGCCGGCAGTTATCAACGTCGTACTTGCGTTCTACATGGGCACTGACACCGCAGGCATCCTCTCCAGCCCTATCGGACAGCCTATGGCTGCGGTTGGTATCTTCATCGGATTTCACAAGGACAAGAGGCTGACACATATGTGCCGCAGATATTCTTTAACAGTTTTGGCACCAGGCCCACGCTTGTTGTCTGGTCCGTCGTCGTTATCACACAGTAAGCCGCCCTTCCTCTTCTTGGCGCCGTAGTTCTAACTAGGGCCCTAGGTTTATGATGGGCACGAGCGCCGTACGCCGCCTCTTCCCTGCCCTCTCTCCGCGCTGACCTACCCGAACCCCAGACCGTGTCGACGTCACGCCAGATGTTCGCGTTCGCGCGGGACGGCGCCCTGCCCTTCTCACGCCTGCTCTACCGCATCAACGCGCGCACGCGCACGCCCGTGGCGTGCGTCTGGGCGGCGGTGCTCGGCGCGTTCGCGTTCGGCCTTCTTGCGTTCGCGGGCCCGACCGCCATCAGCGCAATCTTCGACCTGCCCGTCATCGGCCAGTACCTCGCCTTTAGCATCCCCATCGTCGCACGTTTCACAGGTGGGCGTCCTTGGCGCAGCGGGCCGTTCAATCTCGGCTCCTGGGTGCGTTTACCGCCATTTCCTCGCTTCCCGGACGTGGAGCACGTGCTGATACACGCGCCGTAGGGTCTTCCCGTCGGCATCATCGCCGTGCTCTGGCAAGCGTTCAATATTGTCGTCGTATCTTTCCCCTCATCGACGGACCCGACACCGAACACGATGAACTACACTGCAGCTGTCTCGGGTGGGTGGATAATCTTCTGCCTGGGGTACTTCTTCTGTCCCCGCTACGGTGGCAAGTATTGGTTCAAGGGCCCGCGCGCGAACATCGAGATCGAAGATGCATCGCAGAGTGAGAGCGGCAGCGTCGATGAAAAGGAGCGCGGAGCGTAAGTGAAAAGAGGAAACAGACATAAGAGCAATTTCTCTAAGTGTATGAGGGTATCTAGTCACCCGTAGCGTTATCATTAACAAAGTATCGATAGTATGTGCGTTGAGACTTTCCACGTCTCAGAATAATCTTCTTGATGGAAAGCTTGACTGCGAGTTGGCTCAGTAAGAAATGTGGGCAAGGATAAGAGCGACTTGTTTCTGCGGTACAGAACGTAAACCGCCAAACTTATTGCGATTTGACGCCGAAATTAACGGTGCACAAGAGCCACAGAGCTTGTGCCACTCTGCAGGAAAACAGCGTTAGGCTACATTCCATTTGGCATGTGTCTGGCATGAGTACATCCAGAAGCAATTATATGAACCCTAAAGATACAGTTAGAAAAGCGAGTTCCGTATGCGCGCTAAAGGAAATAGTCCGCAGGCGGCCTTTTTGCAGGTATTGACCTTACATCCTGCGCGATCATCAGCCTCGGCTCAGAAACACCAGAAAAAGCAGATGTACTTACCGACGGTGCATGCTGGAACACCTTGTATTCTTGTCCGAGGCGGTCGTCCAGCTCAAGAACGGCAGCGACGTTGCCGCAACGGTAGCAATAATTTGGCGCACTCCATACGGTGACGATCGTGTTATCGAACATAAGCTTGAAACCCTCCATCGCGAGCTGATGCGCCCGCGCGATGAGGTCGATGTTGTTATGGTGCGCAAACACCTTAGTGATATCTGCACCGAAGAGGAAGCCCGCGCCGCGCGGGGAGAGGCCCCAGCCGGTGATGTCTGAAGGTCGTGTGAGCGCTTTCAAGGGGGCAGTAGGAAAGGGCGTACCATCTGGGTCTGACCAGAGTAGGTCGCACATGGGTCCGTCGTGCGGGACTTCTTGTTTTCGATCAATGGCACGAATCTATAGTAACGTTATTAAGCAAGCCCATGGCCCCCACGAAACGTTACAATGCACCTGGTCGATGCCCTGCAAATTCGGACTGAGGCCGCCGTGCACGCAGAACACTCGCCCATCAACCACTGCGCCAAGCGCCAGGTAATCAAACACCTCACAGCACCACCGCCAGACGTTACTACTACCGTATTTGCGCTGGCATTCGTCGTAGAAGCCGTATACTTGGGTGATCTGTCGCGACTCGTGATTCCCGCGGATGAGTGTCATGCGTTCCGGGTAGCGGACTTTGAGGGCAAGGAGCAGGAGAAACGTTTCCACAGAGTAGAATCCGCGGTCCACGAAATCGCCTACCGGAGCGTCGGAAGAGGCCAAGAGGAGACAGACCGCGGCACGTACCCATGAAGAGATAGTTTGTTTCTGGACATGACCCGCCGACCTTGAATAGCTCCATCATGTCCCAGAACTGCCCATGAATATCTCCACATATCTTCAAAGGCATTTAGATGGATGAAAGAGGGTGATTAAAATGCCAAGCGCACCGTTACTGGCGAGTCTACCACTTGTACGTTGGCTTCCTCAATCAATATCTCTCTCGCTTTGATGCATAATCGCTTCACTTCTTCTTCAGATATTGGCTCACAACGTATGAGCTGTTCAATTTGTCTGTGCAGCACGGTAAATCCGCAGGTAGCACTGGAGAGAAGGGTGCGTACCTACCTGTCCAAATCGCTAGGCATCGATTGGGATGAGAATTTGGGGGATGTTTGATGTTTAAGCCAGAGATAAAGGCTGTTACAAGGGGCTATTGAGCTAGAGGGGTCTTCTTTTTTCAAAGGTGTGGGTGCGCGGTCGAAATTTGGGAGTAGGAGGAAGGCAAGCTTCAACTTCAAATCTGCGCGTCATGGCACGCGTCCTATCACGTGCACGAGCGTCTCGGGAATCGGGATATACGAACGAGTTTTGCGCGGTATCTATTAATTTTGTTCTCTTGAAATACTACCATGCGCCGTATAGCGTAAGTAGCACCTCGTTTGACAAGGTACAAGGTTTTAACGATTTGTCTAACGGATCATTGTAGACTTCATAGATGCTGGTAATAGAACATGGTTCCGACCGGCGACGGCAACGAGTGGGGTGCCTGTACGCAACGCGCACGCACCCTCAGGGTCTTACTTCGCGCGATGGCTATGCTATTATCGGCAGTCATGACGACAAATAGTATGTCCTTGTTTTCCTGAGGTAAGTCCTGAACGCTAACGTCTACATATGTAGAATCGAAACGGATATCAAAAACAGACCCATAGCTTACTGACATTCCGAAAGATGCGCTAAAACCGAGGAACCTCTAGGGGTAAAATTCGCAACGTGGTCCGCACCAGGCACTCAGAAGTCCCCCACACCGTCGCAAGAAGCGTCGAAGTTCGTTTATCTCCGAATGCCACTAACGTGTGAGATACATGCAGCTCGCCTGCGCGCACCTGAACGATTGAACCTGTGCTCGGTCGAAATTGCAAAGCCTCACCCTCAGGCTTGAGGAGAAGGAAAGAAACCTACCTAAAATCACTCCTTACCGCAGGCAGCACACTGTCCGCGTGCCATGCGGCTCTGGATGTGCCTTATCCAGGTGACCTTCCGGGTACGGCATCATCGGCAGGTACTGATATTTGCATATTCACCTGTGCTGAATTGCTGATAGAAGGCCGCGCAGAAGTCATATATCACTTCGAGGCGGGCCAACCTCAGCAAGCTTGTGACCTGACTGTAGCTCGAAATGAAGTGATAATCTCACGAGGCGTGTGGCCATCCGCAAGAGCACCGAGTACGCATTCACCTCCCTCCTTGTATCACAGCCGCCTTAAAAGGGTGCAGCCTTCAGTATACGCCTTTATCGTGGCCTGCAAGGCGGCTGCTCACACTGGCTCGAACGACCACAGACACCTCTTCTACAACATTGTTACGCTTTATCTATCGTGTACCTAACTCCCGACAACATATCCACTCCCAGTATGAACAATCCGGTATGATGCTAGAATTCTGAATGTTCAGTGGTAATGGCTGACAGACGTGTAGGTTGGCAAAGAGGCACATTCAACCACAGCCAGAGCTCCAGCTATGGTTTTTTCTCCCGCTCGGACTTCTCCTCTGGCTGTGGCTCCAACTTCGACCTTGATCTCAATGTCGCAAGCAAATGAGCAGGTATCGTACCACGATCTTTACCGGTGCAAATGAGCGGCATCAGCTGACAAACCTCAGATTGCTAAGGTGAAGCTGGACCCCGTCCCTG